TGAGGGCAGGCTGGATGGAACATGGGGCTGGAAAACATGGTCTCCTGGTCTCCAACCCCATCACAGCAGCCCCCAGACCTGTGCCTGAGTAGGAAACTGGGGGTCCTCAGGGCTCCTCAATCCAGCCCTGCCCATCACCCTGTGGTGTGGACTCTGGAGCAGCCGAACCTCCAAGTGGGCAGAATCCTCCCCATCTGCATCTGCCTGGACCCTCCTCCTCTGACTGGTCCGCCCAAGTGCCCTCTTCATCCCTGACAACCGTGTGCACTGTGTGCAACACACAAGTACTCCCCCACTGCCCCTCCTGAGCTGAGAGGGCAGAACTCGGCCACTGTGGGCTGAGGCCACCGGAGACCATCCTCAAAGAGACATGTGCCAGTTGACCTTCACTTACAAAAGCAGGGGCTGGCAGCTCTTGGCTTGGCCTGTGGGCCTGAATCTGCTGCACCTGGACTAGGAAGGGCTCCTCCCCTAGCGCCAGCCTGCTGTGCACTCTACACCAACCACCCCCACGGACATGCTCGAAAACTCACCAGAGTCATGATGTCATTTGCCAAGTCTCTGGCAAGATCTGGGGTGACAAAACAGGACAAGCCCGTCAGCGCAACCCCAGTGTCGTACTGGCTGGGGCTGCTCAGGTCCTGCAATGGGAGGGACTGAGTCAGCAAGGCAGCTGTAGCCCGACTGCTGTATCCCCAAGGGTGTAGCTGCACCAAGTATGGGCTGGGGACCAAGGAGAGCCAGGACAAGTGTTCTTGGGAGGGGCTAGAGTCCCCTGGTGAGAATGGGTGGACTCTCCTCCTGCTTGGCTGCCTCCTAAAAAGTGGCCAGTTCAAACCCATCAGCTACTCTTTGGTTGAAAGACTTGACACTCAAAAGACCCTCTCAGGTGTCACCAACTGGCTCTGGGGAGAGGGTGCCACAGGCCCACGTGACACAAGGACTCACATCGTAGTTCTGATCTTTGCACCCCCACCCCACCCAGGCCAAAGACAGAAGCGCTCTTTGGGGCCACAGCACAGGGCTGGGTCTCGATGTCCCTGGCTGAGGGACATAGATGCCCGAAGCGGGTGCTGGGGGCTTGGGGGGAGGGGGAATAAGGTTTGTAGTGAGGACACCTGGAAGGTGCTGGCAGCAAGGAGCCCTAGCGGATTTCTAGCAGGCCAGAAGGGCGCCCCACCAGCCTGGTGTGGCATTCCAGGGGGCTCAGGCTCATCTGAGGTGCTGGAAGCAGACCTGGGGGGAGGGGCGGGCATAGGGCTCACCTTTCGGATCTGGTTGGTGGTCAGCATGATGACGTCTGTGCCCTCGTGGAAGCACTGCGAGGCGGCGAGGTACCCGATCCGCTGGCGGGGTGGGGTGGGGGAGCCGTGAGAAAGACCGAGGCTGGATGTGGCCTTCCTTCCAGGCCTCGGACCCTCTGGGAGGGAGGTGCCCAGAGCCTCTGGCTTTCAATGCTCTTTCCCTAAGGCTTCATCTAAAGCACACGTTTCCACACTCATTTGGCCCGCGGCTCTCATTTCAGAAGAAACCACTGCACCTCCTTGGCAATGGAAGCCGGCGATCCAGGGTGAAGCGTAGGTAGGTCTCGGCTTCTGCAGCCCTCGGTCAGCCCATCACCTCCCCAAGGGGGCTGAGGATGAATGTAAGCACCAACCCCTCCCCCCGCAGACATCAAAGCCCCAAGTGCTCTCCAGACACACCTCCAAAGAAAGGCCCCCCCAGTCTAGGCCTCACGGTGTCCACAGGTGCCTGGACCCTGAGCTCACCTTGAAGGTAAACTTGGAGGCGCTCATCACCTCGATGATGTTGAAGGCAGCCCAGCTGATGTCGTAGCCCAGCATCTGCAACTGGTGGGGGTGGGGGCACGGCACAGAGCTCAAGGCCCCCCTGCGCCCCCAGCAGGTGGACACTTATGCGGCTTATCCTGATCTCACCCAGGATAAGCCTGCTTGGGACCAAGTGGCCCTCACAGGTAAGGGACAGATGACCAACCAGCACCCGTGCCAGCGCAGGCAGAGCCCAGGCATCAGCTGGTATTAGGCTCCCAGATAGACCTCTCCTGCTTCCCTCCCCTCCCCTATGGACTGGAAGGGACAGGGCCCATCATGCTCCCCACTCACCCACCCAGGACATGCCAAGCCCCCACTCAGCCCTAGGATTCTATGGCGGTGCCTGCATGGGCGCGCGCAGCACTCACGTAGGTCAGCTTGCAGACGGCGTTGGCTTTCACGGCGATGTTGTCCTGCTTCAGCTCCTGCTTGATTTCGTCAATGCACTGGGAGATGTACTTGGCCTGGGAGAGGGATGAGCATGCTCTTGTCACAAGCATCTTGATGCAACAGATCAAGCCAGTCACTGCCACACACTGTGCGTCGGCTTCTGAGACTCCATATCCAGCCAAGCCACAGCCATGCATGTCCCCGAGCTTCCGGAAGCTACTCTTCTCAGACACTAGCCCCGAAAGCTACCTTCGGATGCTCACCAGAGCCGTCCACCCTCCAAGTCACGGGGTGGAGATCACTGCTTCTCTTTCACCTTGACTTCCCCCTCCTGGCTCCACCAGCCAGACTGTGTTCTCAGAGTGCACCTATACACAGAGCCTGGCTCAGAGCTTCGTCTCTGCAGTGCAGAGGGGCTATGCTGGCCCTCGGATGGGCTGTTCTCATCTCTTCCGGGCCTGCCCTGAGAGGAACTGCTGGGTCGTAGGATGACCAGGCCTAACCTCCCACCAAGGTGCATGAGGGCCCGGATTCCCCCCATCCTCGCCACCACTGCCACTGCCCGACTACTGCTCCTGCCTCAATTCATGAGGAGTCCAGTCCTAGAGGTGGACAGTGTCACATACAGGGACCATGAGCCAAAGAAGGCCCCAGTCTTCTGTAACCTGATGCACATACCACGGGTGGTCATGAAACATTCAGAACTGCTCGTGCCCTCGCAGGCTGGGGAGCTGAGGTAGCAGCCCAGGCCCCGGTGGAGGACACAGGCCTGAAAGGGCAGGGGCTGCAGTAGCAGCGGGGCGCGTGGGTCTGGAGGACAGGGAGCTGAGGTAGCAGTGGGGCCCAGTGGGGGTAGGGGGGTGGGTGTCACAGGCTGGGAGGACGGGGCCAAAGGGTAGAAGGGCTGGATTAAGCTAAGAAATGAATGTAGCACACCTCCACACCTACAGCCACAGCACAATTCACAGTACATAAAAGGTAAGAAACGGCCCAGTGTCCATTGGCAGATAGTGGAACACCACCTGGCCAAGAAAAGGATGGACGCTCTGGTCTGTCTACCGGGATGAACACCAGCCAGGCCAGGTGATCCACAGTCATGCCGGCGGGGCTAGGGGAGGGGCTAGGAGTGACGGCCGGCCCGACCATGAATGTCTGGAACCAGACAGAAGTAGAAGTGAAGAGAGGTGACGGGCACTTTGAGAGAGCGAGTCCCACAGCATATAGATCATACCTCAGCCAGCTGTTAAAAATAGTAACAAGTACAGAGAATTTAACAAGGAAGCCCTGTAGCTCAACTTTCAACCAGACAACAGACCTGTAAGGCGAGTAACAGAACCAGGGGCCGCCCTCCTTACGACCAGAAAAGCCCAAGGGCAGCGTTTCCAGGCCAGCTCAGGAGGCCCAGGAGGAGGAGGAGGAGAGATGGAAGCTGGGAACGCAGGGTGACAGTGGGCCTCGGGCTGATACTGTGGGAACTGCAATCGGTGACGTGGAACCGGGCATGTGGACTCCGTACAATGGGTCTGGGCCTAGGAACCACTGTGAGGAAGGTGCAGGAGGCTCCAGAGTCTCAGCGCTTCCCTCTGTGGTGTGCGGGTCACTCGGGTGGAAAGGGACTGCTGGCACAACCACCACCATGCGTTTCCTCCCAAACAAGAGTCACCAAGAACCTCACTTAAAACGGGGAGAAGTGGCGCATAGCACACTCCTGCTGCCCAGTGCCTTTCCTGAGGGGGAATGGGTCCCCTTTCCCGTGCCTCCCAGGATGACAGGGAGCAGCAGCCACACAGCAAGTCCTGCTTCATGGAAAAGGTCTCAACCCATTGCAGGAGGCACACTCTGGGTCCTGCGGCCATGGGCAGCAACAGAGAGGGGTCCCAAAGTGGTCTCCCGACAGGGTGATCTCCCTACAGAAGAGGCTGGACCTCATTGGCACCCATTCCCAGCCTGGGCTCGGTCTGCACTCAGTTCTTTCTCCTGACCCTCTGAGTGTGGAATTCTTGGCCACATTCTGGTAGGCAAAAACTTTCCTTGCACCTGTTTCTAGGTACGTGTCTCCAGGCTGGGCGTTCAGGGGGTGCCAGCAAGAGCGGCCAGTGATCTCAGGCAGCTCAGAGGCGTAATGCCAAGAGCACTATTGAACATCTGCTTGCCGGAGCCCGAGTCCACCTGCCCTCTCAAATGGCCTAGGTACCCGCCCTCCACACACGAACCCTTTCCTCTGTCTGTGGGGACCCTTTCAGAGGACACCCTCAGCCAGTGGTTCTTGACCTTCCTAATGCCGTGACCCTTTAATACAGTTCCTCACGTTGTGGTGACCCCCAAC